AATTTCTTGGGCTACGTGACAGCTGTTGTATTCCGGAACACGCTTCTAAAGGCTCAGTCAATTCCCAAAGTGAATCCCCTTCATATTGCACAGTTGCTAGTTGGCAGAAATGGTTTATGGAAAGAAAATTCACAGATCGGCATTGCCATGTTTATGAACTTTTTTGTTTGCTGAAACTCCGTGATTTTCCCTTAGGAAAAAAGGATGCCTTCTGTCTTGTTTCCTTGCAATCTTTCGGAATGTTTTCTTGGACTTGCAGGTAGAAAGCAACAGTGAACTACCTCTTCTAGTTGTTACTTAGTTTCTCTTCTCCTTTCAGTTCTTGCAGTTCCTTTCAGTTCTTGCAGTTGCTTTCTTAGTTCTCATGTCCCATCTTTTAATAGCGGTGAAAGTTCAAGTGTTTGCAGGCATTCATCTTCAAAATTTCTGTAACTTTAAATAAAAGCAAAAATTCATATGTCATTAAGCGTCACTAGGAATAAAACTACAAATTCAGGCTCATCCACTCTTGTATCTTGGGACCTGACCTTCCATGTACGAGTGAAGCAAATGGTGCTGATAACCATTAAATTATAAGAATGCACCTTACTTTAGGAAATTTATAGCAAAGGAGTGTCTCATTAAGGGTTCTTATTTTATCGTATTAAACGCTTTATATTATAGTCTGCTGTAAGGACAAAGTGAATCGTTTCAGTCACTTTAAAAGATAGCAGCGAACAGCGGCTTCTCAGAGCTGTAAACCACAGGAAGTGACTTGGCTCAAGGAAGCCTCAAGGGCCCGAAAGAAGATTTTGTAACATGCTTACAGGGTGTTCTCTGTGTAAGTTTCCTGGAAAACTTTTCACCTAAAACCTGAAATTCAAATGGGAAATTCTCACAGCAGTAGGCACTGTATCGGTATTTTCTGATCATGTGCATGATGAGCTTATTAAAGGAAGAAGACAATCGGCAATTAATTTGTTCCATAACAAGAATGTTAAAATATCATATTTAACTGTAGAACCTGACAGAAGTGAATTGCAACTATGGTGTAAGGCTCTAGAGACATTACTAAATGGACTGGTAATTTCTGCTAGTGGATGAGTCTCTTAATAATTTTCTTTTCCTTCATTGCTGCTGAACTAGAGATAATATTGAAATACAAGACAGAGTCCCAAGTAAATCTGACACTTCTGCAGATACTCAGTTGCAGTAGAACTTTAAAATGACGAGGAGACCTAGGGAAATGAAAATACTGTATTGACCTCCAAGCACCGCTTGGGAGACTTTCAGTAGTTGTAATCAAACAGATTGCCCAATTATTCCTATAATTGTAAATATTAATGAGGAAGCTTCAACTGCCTTGAATTATGACTTGCTGTAAACAAACCAATTTATTTTGTGGTATTTGTTATTCAACAGCCAGTGCATTAGCACTGCTGGGTTGGCAGTGAGTTCCTCTGGAAGTTGTGCTGCCGTTCTTTTCCTACGCTTCTGCCTCAGTAGGTAAACTGAGGAAGAAACACGCAGGTCTGCTGTCCTTAAGGCACAACTCTTAATCCAAGTCACTGCCACTGGGCTATTTTTAGGCTTCCCAGCTCCGAAGGTGTAACATTAGCTATGCCAGAATAATATTGCATGTTATCAGTATACAGTCATGGATTGAAGGTCCACAATGCAATATAGCCTAAGCAATGTGCTGACCCTTCTGAATCATAAATCAGGGAACTGATTGCTTATAGCTTAGAGTATTCAGACACCTGCCCATGTGTCACAAGTACTTTTGTGCACAGCTTGACTAGAAAGTCAGAGGTCCCAGAGGGTGTGTGATTATTAAGTCATTTCTCTAGTGAACTGGGATCACCAAAAGCTACAAGGAAGTGACTTGAATAGTCCTAGTGCTTCCAGGAACTAGAAAGGAAGATGAGAGGGCTTGAGATAAGTCCTGCATGTTTCAGGCTTTCATTTCTTTACAGAGCCCAAAAGTGCCCTTCTTCACTTTTTTTTTTTTTTTTTTTAACATGCAACTTCTGAGCAGAAATTTGACATGGATTGTGTGTTTAAGAATCATGGCAACTTCCTTCCCTTCTGCCAAATTCTTCCTCTAGGGGTGCTTTGAGTGCAAAACCAGGAGAAACTAGTCAGCTGTTATCAGCTGGGGCCACTTGGAAAAGTTTATTTTTAAGACATAATGAAGCTGTGTGCCAGATGTCACCATGACTACTCTTCCCAGCCGATGTATTTGTTCATTTTCTTATAGGCATGAGGGACTGCTGCATACTTAGAGGCAATGCTCACACCTTAAGTTTGTTCATCCTTCATTAGATCTCAACGTAGTATAAGCACCATGTCCAATACACAATTTTCAGTACTGTAAGCAGTCACTGAGATTAGTATTATAGCTATTACCGCTATTACCATCAGAAATTAAACTTTAAATTGTTACTTTTAAGAGAATTTTAATGCTTCCAGCTCACTCCTTACAAAGTCATTGTCACCTCATACAGTGAAACATGAGGATTGAAGGCTGCTCAGGGACTTGGTACAGCACCTTACGACTCTCAGAGAATCTCCATTTAAGAGACTACGTGAGAAATAAGCTCCATGGGTCCCAGGGAGTGGGAGGAAAGTTAAGAACCTAAATGACTTTTTATCCTTAAGCAGGTCAGAGTCTCTCTGGCTGCTACCCAGTCTGGATGAAATAGTTCAGCTGAGGTGAATCAGAATCACTGACCCACTGCCGATGTACATGTCTGCAGACCTGCTGCATTTTGGCAGATGTTTCATTCTGGTCTATATCTCTGTGAAACATCCTTGTTGCCTTATCAGGCTAACCCTCTAGCAAGGTCAGAGTAGGGTGTTTTTTTCTTATGAGATACCAATTACGTAGTTTTTCTCTTGGGGAAACCCATTACAGATGTTTTCTGCAAGTATGATCCCTACAGTCTTGCGTGCTCTCTTGCTCTCTTGCTTGTCATGATACAGCGTCCTAGGAGGAATGTCTGAAAGAGATAACATAAAGAAGGAAATATCTCACAAAATGTGACGCTCTGTACTCCATGTTTCACAGAAGTAACAGCTCACCCTAACTGAACTCTTCAGTCTGTCAGACGGGGAAGCCCATCCTTGCATAAGAACACAAGGCTAATCCCTGAGCATCCTCGTAAGAGCCTTTTTTGTGCCGTTAATAGTGCATGGCGCTCAAGATTTTTTTTTCTCAAGTGATGCTTCATCTACTTTGTCTCCTCAAGGTCTGTTTTCTATCATACAGATGTCTGTGTATACACAAAAGCTTACAAAATGTTAACATTAATGTATATACTATGTATATATTTACATACACACATACCTACAACGTCATCTACATGTGCACATCTACTGTAGGCTGATACAAAATTATGGCTTCCTTTATGCCAAAGCAATGCGTGTGCAAGAGGGCTGTCCTCAAAGGTAGATGCTTGAAATGTCCTGCTGCTAGGTTTTTGTTAGGTGGAATCTCAACTAGAACTAGATTTCCCAAGTTTGGAGCTCTGGACATCCATTGTGCTGTAGCGGACCCGTTATTTCAGCTAGTGGAAGTAGTTTGCTGTCAGTGATTTCCATTTGAAGAACATTTTCTCAGAGTAACAAACTTTAGAGTAGTATTTTTCTTAACACACTAATTCGTATGACAGGATGGAATTCAGTCTAACCCATGAAATGATTTTGTAGTTTAGCCATTTTGATTATTTCTTTCCCAGGTTTATTGCCTTGATGAGATTTATTAGTCTCCTACTCTGTATAGAGAGAACATCCCATAGGAGGTAACTAAATAACAGTAATCCCACAGTATTCCTGCAAAAATTCACAGCTGTGGATGCTGCCACTTCCTGAAAAAAGATATGATGTGGTCCACAGTATTTCTTACAAAGTTGTTCTGTCCTACATGGGAAGGGTAACTACAGTTGCCTTTAATAGAACAGTGAAGTTGTGTGGCCTCAGCTGTCCCAAATGCAGCAAAATGCCCTTTGATTTCTGTGTGCTCCCAAATATTCTACGGAAGTGTAATGGAGGCAAATCGCGTTCACCTTCTTTCTCTAAGAAATCCCACAGACATAAATGGAACAGTTTGTGTGGTTATTTGACTTTCCAAATTAGCGCTGCTAATACTTATGTTCACCTAATTTAGAAAATGTTATGAGATCATTTAATAACAGTGCAATATAGTTACTGGATGTTACTAGTATAACTTCTCCAGTAAAGGGTAGAAGGTTGAAAACAGTTACCATTTCTTAATCTAAGCAAAGGAGCTCCAAATTTGTCTCACTGTAACATTTCAAATAACTGTCAAATAGAAAAAAAAATTGCATTTTCAAGCTGTCGCCTCTTGGGCTGTTACACATCTATGGTGACCAGGTTACTGACGTAAATGTGTTGAGTAGGATGAACCTGTGAGAGAAGAATGTGTTTTTCAGGTTGGCTGGGGCTGTATTCACCTTGCACCTGGGGCTGTGCTATATAACAAAAGGGAGCACAGCTACACAGGTATTTCCAGGATGGTGCACACTAATACTAATTTCAAAAGGAAGGAAACTAATGATGAGATGCTCAAATACGGATCAGAATTTCCCCATCCCTCAAAAAAAGGGGATGGAAGGTTGGACTTCTGTCGTCAGTGTGGCCTGAATCGATGTTCATGTCACATGGGACAGGGAAGTTCCCGGTGTGAATGTTGCTCTGATTCTCGATGAACTTTTACTTTGCAAAAGCTGGTAGCATTTATTCGTGGTTTAAAAATCTTGTGCTGGAAAAATGAAGCTCAAACATTTCTACTTCGCCTTTTAAGTTTAATTTTAAATTTTGCTTCTTTGGAAAGGCTGAGAAGTATTAAAAAAATAATAATAACTGCTTAATGTAGACTAGAACAAGAAGGGCTGTTCTGTAATTAAGCCTGCTGAATTTGTATTAATTTACACTAATCTAATTATTACTTTCTTTGAATGCTCTGCTATGAGTCAAAATAAGCTAGTGCTGGATTTGAGAACCACAGAATGAGAAAAGTAAGCAAAAACCACGAAGAGATTTTTCTGCATCTTTTGAGTTTTATGAGACTATAGCAAACGGTGTAGAGAAATAACACTGCAAATGGATTTAAGAAGATTGCATGGTTCTGCTTTTCAGCATGCTTTCCATTGATTAATAATGGCAGATTAACCTGTGCTGCGCTAGTGCTTTCTGAGGTTGAGGAATGGTGGAACCTCAGTCCATTTATACCTGCAATGAGCAGCAAGTCCATTAGCCAAAGGAACTCAAACTGAAACATTGCAACTCCATGGCATAATTTTTAAATGAAACATGATATTGCGTGGATGAAATGATTTTGCATCTGTAAAGACATAGCAACCAATTACTTCATTTTCAAAAGAAACTAATGCACATTCACAGTCGCTGTTCTGAAAAAAAGCATTCTGATTTGTAGTCCTGTGCTTGAAACGGTTATGCTTCTTGGCAACTAGCACATGCAGAGACATAAAAGTAGAATAAGATATGTTCCTATTTAATTACTTTAAGTAGCCATTCTTCTTTGTATCACATAGCTTGGCAATAGGTAGGGCAAGTCTTGGTCTGTTGGCTGTTCAGTGTTGGCTATGGTATCGGAAATTACGAAGACTGCAGTGGAACATATATTCACATTTTTCAAATAGAAATACAGAGAGACTTCTAAATATATTTACCAAAGAAGGAGCCCCAGGCAAATGCTAAATTTGTCCACTGAACCCAAATTTTGCATGTGTAAGGCACACAGTGGAAACTAATGTGTTTTATATATATCTTATATTTAATTTTCATGTATTCCAGTTTTTTAGTCAAATCCTTCTCACCCCATTGCCAAGTATCCATGGCTGTTGTTGTCCATGCTTGCATATAATCAGAATTATTCAAACCAACAGACAGTGACCTTTTCCTATCACATTTGATGTATATTTTCACACATGCACGTACTGTGATAGTGTCTAGACTAATTGCAAACTGAGAGGAAAGCATCTTTACTCCACAGAACCATTTTGTTTGTGGCACATACACAGAGCACACTTACATGTAATATCTGATGTCAACACTCTTCTGTCACTTTATTGTATATATCTATTTATGTATGTATATAGAGAAATTGATCTCTAAGATATATAACACTTCAAATTACATTTTAAAATGTTTTTTGTTTTTAAATATTAACATCTTAAAGATTTAATTGAATTTGAGATGCTTAGCAAAAAAAAAAAGAAAAAAAACCCACAATGTGAAACCTTGCTCTAATAACTTGGATAAATAGCTCTATTTAATAGAACTATTTGTTATTGTTCTGTGCTTTATGCTGCACTGGAGGAGACATTGTCTGTGCCTTGAGCATTTTGCAGTAATAGGGCTTGATCCTGCATATCATAATGGTGATTGGTCACAGTTTAAGTACAAGGTTAAAACTAAGAAGCAGAATGAGGGAGCTCAGGGGAACTTGCTCCTGTATAATTGAAAGTGTGGCTGGGCACTCCACTTACAGCAGTCACATAGCAGGAGTAATGTCAGATAGTGGACAGCATAAGTAAATGCCTCATTTCCAATCCATATTTTAAAAAATCTGCCTCTGCAGGCATTGCCATTTTCACCACCAGTTTTTTAAACTCATTCTTGAGGAGTAAAGGATGGGAGGGACAAGAGATTTGAATTCGCATCTCTGCAATGCCTTGCACTGTGCCTAGTGCTTTACCTTGCTGCAGCCCATAGCTAACAGGTGTTTAGGTTTAATTTGCAACCAAAAGCATTTTACTCAATCCAATCTACCATGGGATTTGCAGGATTAAGGCCTAAATGGATAAAGTGTCTAAAATGAAGGTACAGGGTACATTAGTAAGTGAAAGATGATTTGGTCTTCAAGTGTGCTTTCAAAGAATAAGTCTATATGGGCCTCTTACAAAGGCTATTCTTGGCCTTTTTTTATTTATTTGGTGACAGAAAAGTTACATCTTTAGCTCTCCCCTCGTCACCTGTAATATTAGCATGCCTGTTAAATTGCTGATGAAACACTCACTGTAAAGTCACTTACAGTTTTATACATTTATTATTGATTTTGGCGTATTGCAGCAATGTACCATTGAGGATGATATGGAATAGCATGACAGCATGCAGAGCAATGAACTGTAATTCACTTGGAAGAATTGAGATGGACGTTCCAGTTTGAAGTGAGACTCGATAGCAAAGGTTATGGGAGATGCTAATGGAGGCTCTTTGCTTTGCAGTGCTGCAAGGGGGAGCGCTGGATGGAGTCTACAGGCTGGCACAGTTTCACATTCACTGGGGATCTTGTGAGGGCCAAGGGTCTGAGCACACTGTGGATGGTGTGAAGTATGATGCAGAGGTAGGATATGATTTACCTTCTCCAGTCTTTTGTGTATAATGAATTTTTTTTTTTTTTTTTAAATTTTCCACCATGGTAGCAGCTTCTTTACAAATTTTCATAGGCAAGAGATTATGAGGGTTACCATAGAAGATAGTGGTACAATGCCACCCCAGGACCTATTCCCTGCAACAGCAGAGGTTAGAATTGGAGGTCTCTTGTAATACTTTTTTCAGTTACTTCATATCAAAGAGACTACAGAAGCAGAAAACCCTGCATTAATTATCCCTGTTTTTTTTCCTTGCTTTCTCGATGACTCATGAAAATTATGAAGAAATAGAATCGCAGTACCTCTGTACACACACATCGCCTTTTCCTGGCTTCAATTTTTAACATCAGAGACATTTAGATAAACAAGAGAATAATTTTGGGGCAGGCCCTTTCATCTTTTGGTAGCAAAGAAGCAAGGGGAGCTGTGAAGAGGGCAGGTAGCAAAGTGAGGCCTTGAAGGCACTATTTGTAATATGCTTAAGACTCCAGATGTCCCTTGGACCACTTAAGACTGTATTACAGTCTCATTACAGGAATGGAGTCACTTTAGTGCCTTGCATCCCACCTTTCCTTGTCCCCTGTTTAGAAATCTACCTCTGGATGCTGTTACAGACTTTTTTAACCCTTTCATAAATGCACATTGACTGAACATACCTGTGGTTTGCATTGATGGATAAAAGAAATGGCCCCACAAATTCATTGGCTCTGCTGCTTTTTCATGAGATAAAGTACCCTTTGTCTTATCTGAGAAACTTGCCATTGCCTTACATCTGTTCACAATACCATAATTACTTGCTCAACTTGACTTGTACATATGGGAAACAGCCAGATGAACTTCAATTAGAAATAACTCAGAAATAAAAAATAAAGCAATATCCTGGCTAATGTGACCTGGAGATTCATTTCATATTCTTTTAAAAGGCTTTCCAGAAAAGGACAGGACAGTTTTTTTTTAAAAACTCTCTAGATTGCAGGTCAGATCTGTAGTTAATGCCTCCTCTCCCTGACACTGGATAATAATGTCTTTCAGTGTTGATAAGAACTCCAGGATATATAGCATTAAAATACTGTATCAAAATCTTGCAGGCTGCATGCAGGAAAAACTCATGCTGAACATAACAGGAGTTTCACCAGACTAAAAGCAGAACGATAGTCACAGTTTGCATTTAAAACTCATCTGGGAATAAGAGTGAGAAGCAAAATAAAATGCATGACAGAAATCTCTTTGCGTAAACGAAACTTGAAAGTAGATGAATGATTCAACAAATTCTTAACTGTACACAAAAGTTTTTAAATCTCAGCAGTAAAACGCCATCTGCTTTTAATGTCTAATAAATTACTTCCCTGCATCCTCATTTGTAAAATATTGTGGATGGAATATCATCTTCATAGTGCTTCTTGTTTTCTTGCTCCTAGCTCCATATTGTTCACTGGAATGTAAAATATGGTAAATTTGCTGAAGCTGTGAAGCATCCTGATGGTTTGGCTGTGGTAGGCATCTTCATGAAGGTTAGTTGAACTTTTTCTTTTGCGTTATTTGGATGAGTCCAGTATGTTCATTGTGTTGCAGGGAGACCTAAGAGCCTAAAATACAGAATAAGGCAGCATTATGCTATACTGCATAAACCCATAGCAAACTAGATAGATGGTGCTCCAAATTCTTGGCTTTCTCTACAAATAAAAATTGTACAGCGGCAGTGGAGTATGACTGCTATTCATCACTGCGGTGGCCCGATAGCAGCACACTTGCCTTCACCACGACAATCATAGAATCATAGAATCATAGAATCATTAAGGTTGGAAAAGACCTCTAAAGATCATCAAGTCCAACTGTTAACCCAACACCACCATGCCCACTAAACCATGTCCCTACGCGACACATCTACACGTCTTTTAAATACTTCCAGGGATGGCGACTCCACCACTTCCCTGGGCAGCCTGTTCCAAGGCCTGACCACTCTTTCAGTAAAGAAGTTTTTCCTAATGTCCAATCTAAACCTCCCTTGGCGCAACTTGAGGCCATTTCCTCTCGTCCTATCACTGGTTACTTGGGAGAAGAGACCGACCCCCACCTCGCTACAACCTCCTTTCAGGTAGTTGTAGAGTGCGATGAGGTCTCCCCTCAGCCTCCTCTTCTCCAGGCTAAACAACCCCAGTTCCCTCAGACGCTCCTCATAAGACTTGTGCTCTAGACCCTTCACCAGCTTCGTTGCCCTTCTCTGGACATGCTCCAGCACCTCAATGTCCTTCTTGTAGTGAGGGGCCCAAAACTGAACACAGTATTCGAGGTGCGGCCTCACCAGGGCCGAGTACAAGGGCACAATCACCTCCCTACTCCTGCTGGCCACACCATTTCTGATACAGGCCAGGATGCCATTGGCCTTCTTGGCCCCCTGGGCACACTGCCGGCTCATGTTCAGCCGGCTGTCAACCAGCACCCCCATAACTCTTATCAGTGAAAGGTGAGGTACATAACTGACAAAGTTGTGTGTGTATGAATCTGCAGTAGGACCAGCCTAAATAACACCTATTTTCCTTTTCCTGTCATTGTTAAGTGTCCAGAGCATTTTGTCTTAGTTGAATTGTCTTCACAGCTAGTTGGAGAAGGTGACTGTGCCCCAGCAGTGTGCACGCTGTCCTGGCCTCACTGTATTTTATTAGGAGGGAGATTTCTATGAAAAAAGAACAGCTCAAGTCCAAAAATAAATCCACACTCTGTAAATGAAAATAACTTTATTCTGTCCAGTGTCCTTGGCTGACCCATTTGTGCTGACTGTCGACTGGCATGGTTTTACAGAGACAGTTCCGGTCACATTTGCTGTAACACTCCTGTTATGTAATGAAATAGTGCCGGGAAAATGTACTATAAAATGTTTCCTTGAGAACTGTAACAGAAAACTAAAGGTATCATGAGAGTGCATGGTTATTTTCTTTTCATACGGTTTGTATTACAGGTAGGAAATGCCAGGCCTGAAATACAGAAAGTTGTGGATGCTCTGAACTCTGTTCAAACCAAGGTAATATTTGCTGTCTGTGTTGATTGACACCAATCACAACTGCACTGTTATCTTCTCCAGAAGGTGGATTATTTACTTCTTCCCAGTCTGCTATATGTACAAAAGTAAAACAAACCTTCTTGCCATCAGCACTAATGCTCCTGTAATCTTAAATGCAAAAGAGATTCAAATGAAGTTGTGGTACAGGGCAGGGAATACTAGGAACAGTGATCACTTTGTATCTCTGTGACTACAGTTCTCTGTCTTTTAACTGCATTTAAATCTATACAGTAGGATTCATCTTCCTAATCTAAACTACTCTTCCAGGTGCTCTTTCTAGTCAGTGGTGACAGATGCAAAAGGCAATTCCCCTCACCTCTGCATCTGTGGCATAAATTTCCTTCCTCCAAGAGGGCATTCTTCTCTTGGCTATTTCTAGGGGGAGTCCAGATAAGAAGTTTGATCAGGATATATAACTCTTAGGAAGAAAAGCCTTTCTGTAATTAAAATATTGTGTAAAGTGTGTATGTGATCTTAATGAGCTGAGTAATGAGAAATGAAAAGTACTTCCTGAGTAATTAGCTACCTTCATAGTGGGTAAAGGCCTGTGCCAATGAGAAACATGGGCAGGAAAAGTAAAGAATGAGACTATGCTGTCATCTTTGTCATCAGGCTCCCTTTGAGGTAAATGGATGTTGCCATTTAGTGCAATGGACTCTCCAACAGATCTCCCAGGTTCTCTATTTCCAGTGCAATCGGTGTACATGGCATCTGAAAACTCATTGTTCCGTCAAGCAGAGTCAGATCATATCTCTAGGAGCAAAGAACATAAATTCAACATTTGAAATGAAAAACAATGTCTCAAAAGTCTTATAATGTAAGAAATACATTGCTGAAAGTCTTTAACCCAAAGGTATTGTAGGAGGCACTCAACAGTACATGCCAAACTCCATTTCTGCCTTTCTCCAAACATGGAGTTTCCTGTAGGAGACTTTACTACTGCAAGCCCAGCATGTGTATGATGTCTCTCCCCTGACGTTATCCCACCAACTTTCTTTATTGTAGGGGAAGCAAGCTTCCTTCACAGACTTTGACCCCACTGGACTGCTTCCTGCATGCAGAGACTATTGGACATACCCCGGCTCGCTGACCACTCCCCCACTGCTCGAATGCGTGGTCTGGCACGTTCTGAAGGAGCCCATCACTGTCAGCCCCGAGCAGGTACGTCTCCAATGGATGGTGCCAGTAGATGTGTACTGGAGTCGTATCGATTGCTTTGGTTCAGCCCTCCTGCTGATCTATGAAATGGCAGTTTATGTTACTGCAGAGCTATGCAGGGCATTAGCTAGTATCACATGTCAAAAATATATGTATCTATCTGAAGTGGTTATCCTCTTCTGGCAGGACTCCGCTTCTGTGTGTGGAAGTAAAGTTTGCTGTAAAATGTAAGGCTGTCCTCCATTTGGACACAGTCCAGGGAAAATTTGGGGAGTTTTAAAAATTTAATCAAGACTTCCCAGATACGTGGTTAGAGTTGCCATGTGGTAAAAATGTGGGAAATTTGTAGCATGCGTGAAAGGACCATTTGCACATGCAGAATTCGTCTAGCATATATTGTGAGCATCAGCAGGTTTGCTGTACGTGCACACATCACCTATCTGGGTATACTTGCCCTGAAAACAACAGGTTTACCAAGCGTCTGAAGAGCATATATTCTGCATCCGCAGTCTCACACCGTAGATCTGTAGTTGGTTTGTTGATCTTTCAGCATTTCCAGGACACAGAGCTCATTTTACAAGTTCTATTCAGCACAGAACAGACTGGGAAATCCCACGCAGAATTGTGACAATCCTAACAAAACTGCATTGTTTCGAAGAGAGAAAACTTGCAGATTCCAGAAGTCTGCTGCCTGAAAAAATCCTTTATTCTGTTGAGCAGCTTGAGGAGGATAGATTCTTCTTACTAGGAAGGAGCTTGTGCAGAGTAAATCGCTCCTGGCCCTAGCTTTCTGCACCATCCATTAATGAAATTACATAGAGGCAAGATTCCATCCTTGGGTTCACATCTGTGTGCGTGGGAGATATAAATAGAACCTAAAGCCTACAAATATAAACTAGGCCTGAAGGGCTTTAGTTTACCCTTCAAACTCTTAAATTCCTTTTATCAATGGCAGACGTGCTAACAATATACACATAATTCTAGGGGGTTTATTCAGCTGATGTGAAAAAAGTGCAACAGCTGTTGTGGGACTTAACGTAATAAAAGATAGAATAAATGACAAGGAAGAACTATTGGAAATAATAATTACAGCAATGATTACCATTAATAAACTGCAAAGGAGCATTAAAGTTGACACTGTTTACTTGTTCTAAACTACTGGTATTGCTATTGATAATCCAAGGTTTGTAAATATGGTTTTATTATAGGGCAGGAGCACATGTACCAAAATAGAGTTGTTTTTCCTACTACACCTACTTTAACCACCTGCAAGTGGTAAAAGACACTACTTGTTTCTCCCACACACACCCCTCCATATTACCATCGACATTTCAAAGATGGATTTGAGATCAAAACAGTGTGTGTGGCGGCTTGCCTTTTCATTCCAAAACTGATCAAAACAAGGAACCATAAAGCAGAGTATTGACACTGGGTTTAATTTGAATTGGTTTTCCAAAGATAGATAAAAGCTGGCTATTACAGCAGGGTGTAGCGAGCCTGTTATTTGCTGTAGTGACACAGCAGTTCCTGGCAGAGGTTGAGCTCTGAACTTTGTTCCAGTCGGTCCTGAAGGTAAGGTCCTCTCCTGGGCTGGTCACTGCTGGGGACCTTCCTCCTTGAATGAGGGAAAGCCTGGCCTGCAGCCTGACTCATACAAAATCCTGTATCACACCTACATATTTCTGTCAGCAGTTCCAGCTGTCTGCGTGAGATCACATTTGGGGCGGGTTATTATTTTGGCACAGCCTTTTTCTTAGTTTTGGAGATGCCCACTTAGACATCAAGGTGCTTTTATTACATCAGACTGTGCAAACACCAATTTTACTTTAAGAACAAGCACTAAAATGTTATGGTGTGCTCCCATTGATGTGGAGCAGTTTTCCCTCTCACAGTATTTGAAAATCAAGATATCTTGAAGGAATTTGGCCGCTTTAATTTGACCCGAGGGTAAGGTCAATTTTTTTTTTTAATATCAACTGGACACAAAAAATCCAAGTTTCAAAAGAGCCAAACCAGTGCAACTTGCAAAGGATTCTGAAAAGGTTTCAATTCAGATCTGGATCAAAGACAAAGAGCTCTTTGTGCAGAGTTCAGAAAATGTGTGCCTAGGTCTTTGTTTTCTGTGCTTTCTTAGTTCTTCTTGCTAGGATATTTTGTGGACAGCAGAGCCTGTGTCAGGGGCAGGAGATGGTGTGGATGAAATGCAGAGACACGTGGGTGGTGATGCCATCTCTAGACCATTAGTGCTGGCGAAACTTTGAGTTGGACCTCTGGCTCAGGCCCAAGGCGTACAATTCAAATAGTCCGGCTGAAACAAGAGCATGCGTTTGAGGATGTTTGTGCCTTTTTCCACAGATGTGCAAACTCCGTGGCCTTTGCTTCAGTGCTGAGAATGAGCCCATGTGTCATATGGTGGACAACTGGCGCCCATGTCAGCCTTTGAAGAACAGAGAAGTCAGAGCTTCCTTCCAGTAACCTCAGCGCTGAGTGTGTTAGAAATTGCTGTGTTTGTGAGGAGCCCCTTCTGCTAAGCACAAATCAAACCTTTGCCATGTGTGCCCTGGCAACATCTTGTCTCCCAGATCCATTCTTTCTTTCGCTCTGCATCTAAAATGCCAGCTAATGAAATGTGAAAGGCTCTTGGCCAAATAGGAAAGGGTTCTTACGGTGTGGGCTTGGGGGAGGCATGGTGGGGGGTGGCTGCGTGCATTTTGGTGACTATTACTGCAGCTGACACTTTGGTAAAAGACAGTATGTTGGCTACTTGGGAGAGGATATGATGATAGCAAAATAAGCCATTTTAAGAAACCTCAACCACAGGTGTGATAGTACACATAACTAACGATAACTTGAAGCTTTATGAAAAGCACAGGAATACAGAATCTAGATATGTCTTAGGAAAAAAAGTATTTTGAGAAAGTAAGGCAAAATGAATATTGAGAATTAGACTTAGATTTTAAGAAACTGACATGTAAATATTTTTGAGACCGTTTTACATTTTTACCCATGCTATCAACAACCTTGAATATGTCTTAATGGTAGTGTTGGATTTTTTAATTAAAAATGTCCTAAATTAAGTATTATCTTTAAAAGTTGTTATTACCATAGAAATAATACAAAATTATCTTTTGGTTGAAATAATATATGCTCTAATTTAAAGAGGAAAATAATATTGTATTTTAGATAACTTCTCTAATAAATCTATACTTATATTTTTGCTTTCATGCTGTTATTTTAATTCAGGAAATTCAGGGTCACTAATCTGCATCATTGCATATTAAACATAATTACTAAACATATAGTATATTGGGAATTGGTTTCAATGACACTGAAGATGAATGCAAACCTATATACATATGTTAGGAAATTTTCTCTAAGTAGCTCTCTAATAGATAGCAGAAGGAAATGTTAGTTTTGAGCAATCACTACAAATTATTATCAAAGTTGACTGCATAATAAAAGATACCCTCATAAGAATTTTGAACGGTCATACTGAAGAATGGGGTTGCTTAAACATTGCCTTTATGTGACAGCCCAAAAGCAAGGTGCCTCATCTTTATGCAGAACATCTATTCAATATGTTTCTCCAACTAGGCCAAATCTTTCAAGACTGTGTCCCCAGCGTTTGGTTTTTAGCCTCACAGTATCACATCATATGAATGATTTCAACAGAAGATTTTTTTTTGAACAGAAATATTGCTGAGCAGACAATAGCTTCCACTAACTTCCATTGCTGGATCCTTACTAGCTGATTTCTTGTGTTTTCATGAACACATATTCAATAGATATCTGAATATAAATCTCTTCTAAATACACAGGATCCAAACAATACCATAAGGGGCTACTCTCCTTCTCAGGCTGTTGTGAGAAAAGCCATCTTCAAATCTCTCATCTCATTGGATTCTGGTCCTAGTTTTTACGGCAATTTATTATGAGCTTCCTACCCCATCAGAGATGACTTTGTAATTTATAAGGTAACAGTTGGACAGGCTAGGTTATGAAACTCCTGGGATCTTTAAATGTGTGAGATGGGAATGAAGCCTTTTCAGAGCGCATACAAACATCTTTAGAAAACTTTATCAAATCTCCCCTTTTGAAAAGCTTCCCCATTTAAAACATGCCCCCACCAAAAAAAATCGAACCCCAAAACCAGAACAGAAGAACAAAGTGTTCCTTTGCCACAGGTCATTTGTTCTAAGTTCATCTTTTCTGAATGGAGCTACAAAGGTACTTGTCTCTTCCTACAACAACTATGCTGCCTAATTCAGGTTCTTCGTGTTGAGTGATTTGAATACTTTTCTGATTCTGTCACTCACAGGCCTGAGTGCCACACATGTGTCCCCTAAACAATGCAAGAGAGGTTACACCTTTAAAATTGGAATTATAGATCCAATACATTGTGGCTGAAAGCTGCTGAAGCAAGCCAAGAAGAAACATCTTACAGAATCACAAGATGGCTGAGGTTGGAAGGGATCTCTGGAGGTTGTCTGGTCCAGCCCTTCTGTTCAAGCAGGGCCACCCAGAGCAGGTTGCCCAGGACCATGCCCAGATGGCTTTTGAGTATCTCCAGGGGTGGAGACTTACAGGCTTATGACTCACTTATTTCAGCAGGTAGCATTGTTCTGCTGAAGCTGAAGCGAAGTGCTTGTTAGCAGTCACAAACACTAAACTTTCCTAGAATTGTGCATGTATGCCAGAACTTGCTCTCAAAGGTGGCAACCCTACTCTTTGCATAATGGTTACATGCTATGGCACTCCTAAAATTAAAAAATAAAAGATGAGAGCCCCAGAGTTTCAAATTTTAAATGCATGTCTTGACAACTATGATACCCTGACTTTCTGAGAAGTAATCTCATTGGTACCTGTACAACTTAAATAGTATCCAGGCTGGTATGTGACAGAGAATGTGAACTTCTGCCTAATGGCTAGGGTAAAAACCTGGAAACGCCTGTGAAGTTCTAACCACTGCTGCAATAAAAAGTTCCGTATCTCATACTCCATCACACTTCAAGGTTGCTCCATAAATAATACGTAACAGCAAAGACAACCAGTATCAGCCATATATTTATACTCTGGTTTGCACAAGCCTGTTTATCTGGAATGTTGCCAGTGCCATGTGTTTGCCTTTGCTGAATATGAAGTACTTTTGTATTCAGCCAGACAATGCAACCTGATGTTCATCAGTCATATACACGGTGTACAGGAAGAGCCTGCTGTATGTCTTACCTGTGTGGTCTACAAGGGAACACTGTTCTTCATTTTTCTTTTTTTTTTTTTCTTTTTTCTTTTTAAGTGAACAAACTTAGAGAACCACACCCCAAAATCCTCACAAAAACCCCTCTCCAGCATAAAATGGTACATGGGTTTATCACAAATTCACACTTTGCAGTTAGACTCTTGTGCAATGGATAGCCTTTTCAAGGAAGACATATATATTAAGGCCAACCCAGAAATGAAGAAAACAATTTCCTTGGCATTCATGGTCCATTTCCTGAATGGTGAGTTCAATTAAGATAAAGATGAATAGAACCATCCAGTTCTTCTTCCTGACCTCTACTCTCTATTTGCTTATATGAAGAGGTTATAATTAGGTCTTGCAATTGTTCCACAGCAGACTTAAAACAACACCCATTCTAACATCACACTCCGACCTGTTTCAACTGGAAAACTGGTCATGAATTCATAATGAAAAAAAAGAGACCACTTTGGTCATGGAACAGAAGATGATCGACTGCAGGTAATTGTGTTACTGTCAAGTAGGCAGCTCTGATTAAAGGGAAATTTATTTAGAAGAAAAAAAGGAAAAGAAAGAAGGCTAGTGTGTTAATTTGAAGTCATTGTAAGATACTCAGCCAGCACTTTGATGGGGGAAAGAGAGAAGCATGTTCACTTGCAAACTGTTCATTTTGCACAGTTTGTGATCTTGTCTCGCACTTGTCTGCCAACTCCATGTGTTAGAACATTTTATGATTTCTCCACTGCTATTTCTAAGGGTTGGATGTGTCCTAAATTGACATGGGCGGGTAGACTGTGATTCTAGATGTTCCCAGGGAGATTAGATAATAATGCCCTGCATGGAGTCAGCAATATTTATAGAAATCCAGATAGTTTATAGAACAGTATCATTCATTAAATGACAGCTTTAGGATTTTCTAACTCTTCAAAGAAAAGCCCTGCAAGCAACAGCTGTGTCAAATCTAATATCGTAGAAACAACCAGTGATGAAAATACAGGCAGTGGCTTTATTGAAAAATTCCCATGGACCCTCTAACATCAGCCACTTCCTCTTCCAAACCACAGCATCTCCTACGGTCACGTAGCACCTGGTGACGGTTGCTTACACTGAGTGTTTGATATATTTTAAGTCTATTTGGCAACCGGATGCTCCACTGCTGTCCCCCTTCCTCTTTCAGTATGATGGTCAAGGGCTGTGCTGCCTCGATGCCATCGGTGGTTTGCCCAGGCCATAAGACTCCCCAGTCACCAACTTCCTAAAGGTACGAGTGCAACGGGTGCGTGTTCGAGGCCATCATGGCTCCATACCAAACAGTGAGAGGTACGATGACAAAACTTTTCAGGGATCCCTAATTAATTTTAGACCACAAGTCTCGCTATTTTTTTATCCAAGCCACAAACCTAAGCCATTTTGGGAATGTCCCCATCCCAGTGTGGATTACAGTGTAATGATTCCCCAAGCTCTCATGTTCATCCGACATCGAACTCTTCAAAATGCTCATTTTAGTTCAGCGCTCAAAGCAACATAGCTATATTGCCTGAGCTGGTGGACCCAGATTCTCAGTGGGGCTTGGTGCTAACATGGTGTAGCTGTGTTGCTCCTAATCCCAGAATAGAATCCGTTTTGTCCAGTGAGGGCATCAATGCACTGCAGCATATTAAATAATAAAAAAATATCCTCAGGACATTTTGAAAAAGGCAATATGTAAGCCCTGTTTTTATAATCCTGCATGGTATAAGGCATTGTATATATGTATGACAAGAGGCAGGCACTGCTTTTTTCAACTCACACCCTGAAACAGAGAAGAAATGCATTGAGACAATATGCAATAAACAAGTGGTTAGAGCAGACAGGTGGATATTAACTACATATTTTTCTTGAGGGGTAGGTTTTAATAAGTCTTGTAATGTCACTCAGTATTCAAGGACCGGGAAAATTTGCTGCAAAGTACTAGACTAGACTAGACTATTTCAGTTGGAAGGGAACTACAATGATCATCTTGTCCAACTGCCTGACCATTTCAGGGTTGACCAAGTTAAAACATGTTATTAAGGGCATTGTCCAAATGCGTCTTAAACGCTGACAGGCTTGGGGCATCGGCCACCTCTCTAGAAGCCTGTTCCAGTGTTTGACCACCCTTTTGGTAAAGAAATGTTTCCTAATGTCCAGTCTAAACCTCCCCTGGCGCAGCTTTGAACCATTCCCACGCGTCCTATCACTGGATACCAGGGAGAAGTGATCAGCACCTCCCTCTCCCCTTCCCCTCTTCAGGAGGCCATAGAGAGCAACAACATCACCCCTCAGCCTCCTTTTCTCCAAACTAGACAAGCTCGAAGTCCTTAGCTGCTCCTCATAGGACATTTCTTCCAGCCTTTTCACCAGCTTTGCTGCTTTCTTCTGTCTGGGAAGCCCCAAGATCAAACAGGGAAAAAGAGTTTGTGTGGCACTTGGGTGCCTTGGACCAGGGATAACACAGACAGAAATCTTTCTCTGTCTGCAGTGCTACTCAAAGGGTGTCCCTGAGAGGCACGACAGACACGCCAAGGCTGACAGGTTTCACAGAAAGCAGAGCTAGGCTCTCTCTTCTGCACGCTGATCTACTAGCCCAAAGGCCAGGTCCAAAGGTTCAGCTCACTCCAGTAAGGTGGGAGGACTCCACCTGCAGGGTTCATCAGAATAAGAAGTTGAACCCATGACTAGTAAGGAACCTCTTTGCTGATCATGTGCCACCCCATATACAGAGGAAAAAACAGGCTAGTGTAAAGACTCATGGGACCTTCTCTCCCACTCTGCTCCACAGCTGGGCACCCTCCAGTGCACCTAAGCAGGGAAGGACAGTGGAAGTGGCGTGCTCTTTCCAAAAAGAAGGAGGAAGGATAGCCGATCATCCTTTTTTTGTAAAACTCTGTAGCAGCAGAATACTTTTTTGGAGTTACTCAAAGGTCAGGGAAAAACTTACTCTTTCCTCTGCCT